CTCTTACGTTTTGTGCTAATTTTGTCTATGTTCTGGCTTTATTTAGATTCTTTTTACTGTAGCTTTCTTTTATTTTGGTATTTTTTCAATTTTTTGAAGGATCGTCAGAAAGAGTTTTTTCTTACAAGTTTATTTTATTTTATTTTATATAAACTTAAATTAGATCATTGATTTAGTAATTTCATTTACTAAATAATGAACCAATAAATTAGATAATGTATTAACTTATAATTGGTTATATTTTAATATATTTCTAATTTGTACTTTAAATTTCTTATCAATTCTTAACTTCTAAGAGAGCATTTTCTCTATCTTTACACTGTATACATATTTGATTACCCTGATATGATAGTAATAAATCTAATCCACCATCTCCTTCAGTAACTTGAATCATATGTGCAATTATTCTATTCTGGTTAAATAGCTTATGAAGATCACTTTCGAAAGTATGACCTTTTGCTTAGTTTGATATCTAAAATAAAATAAAAAAATTAATAAAACATATTTTTCACTCCATGGGTTGTGGTGTTTACACGTTCATATTTCTAGCAAAAATAAAATTTATCCTCGAGTAAATTTAAAAAAAAATTCTCTTTCCAGAATAAATTCCTAATACCTGAAGAGCAGCGTGCATAAATATGATTATTAAATGAATATAATTCATCTTCTTATCAGCCATTTCAGAATTATGTAGTTAAAAATCTAACCGATTATATAAATTTTCTTCAATATATGTTCTTTTAACAAATATTGTTTTTCGTTTAATTGTTTGTGAATTTTCAAGTTTAAAAAAAATTTTACGTTCTTTAGATATTTATGATCAAAAAAACCTCAACATATATAAAAAAAAATAAGCTTAAAATAATTGGTGCGATATTAGAATTTAGAATTAATAACCCTTATCATAAAATTCTTATCAGTAAACAATTAGAATTTAGAATTTAAATTCTTACGGAAAATCCTTTACAAATAAGAAATTTCCTTTCATAGAATTAGTAACGTAGAATTTAGAATTTAAATTCTTACGGAAAATCCTTTTACAATGTACTTATCTTATTAAGAAAGAATTTGAAAAAATATGGTGATTTACAATTAGCAATAAGAAATAGACAACACAATTTAAGAATTTCCTTTCATAGAATTATTAACAGAAAAACTTTTTTTTTTACGGATGTAAATTTATTCTTTTTATTGTTAAAAAATAAATTTTATTAAAATTATTCGATCAAATTAAATAATTATTTATGTAATACAAATAACTATTTTTATCACTAACCAATCAAATTCAAGGAATATTTCCTTTAAGTATTTTCAATTCGAGTATTTTCATTCTGAGTATTTTCGTGAATATTGAGTACTTTCAAAACTATTACCAACCAATCAGATTTAAGGAATATTTCCTTTAAGTATTTTCAATTCGAGTATTTTCATTCTGAGTATTTTCGTGAATATTTTAAGTACTTTCAAAACTATTACCAACCAATCAAATTCAAGAAATACTTTTTGCAAAAATTCGAATACTTTGATTCTGACAAGGAATACTTTTTGCAAAAATTCGAATACTTTGATTCTGACCAATCATCATTGTTGAATTTGAATACTTTTTGCGAATATGTTTTGCAGAAGTTTGAATCTTTGATTTCTGACCAATCATCATTGTTGAATTTGAATACTTTTCGAATACTTTGTTTTCTGACCAATCATTGTTGTTGTTGAATCGGAATAGTTTTTACAAAAAATTTGAATATCTTTTGCAGGAGTTTGAATATTTTATTTTCTGACCAATCATTGTTGTTGTTGAATTGGAATACTTTTTGCAAAAAAATTTGAATATCTTTTGCAGGAGTTTGAATACTTTGATATCTAACCAATCATTGTTGTTGAATTGAAATAGTTTTTGCAAAAAATTCGAATATCTTTTGCAGGAGTTTGAATACTTTGATTTCTGACCAATCATCATCGTTGAATTGGAATAGTTTTTGCAAAAAAATTCGAATATCTTTTGCAGGAGTTTGAATACTTTATTTTATGACCAATCATCATCATTGAATTGGAATAGTTTTTGCAAAAATTTGAATATCTTTTGCAGGAGTTTGAATATTTTGATATCTGAAAAAAAATCAAATTCAAAAATTATCTAATTTATTTAATTTTTTGAATTCTTTTTCATTTAAATAACTTAAAATCATGTTTAAAAAAATTATTTAATAAAGTTCAATTTAGCTGTTTATATACTTTATTTAGAACAATACAAAAAAATAAATAATATAAAAAAAATTTTTTTAAACAAAAAAATGAATCAACCAAGAATAACAAACGTAGATGAATTGATTTATAAAAATACATGTTTAAGAAACAGAAATGATGACCTTAAGTCAATCAAACAAAAACTCACAGAGATATTTAGATTTTTGTAAAAAGAAACAATTACGATTTTTTTTATTTTTTTTTCTTATAAAAATTGCTTGCGGAAGACATTTCTTGAAATGAAACCTAACTATATGTTTAAATAGCATTTGTAGATATAGCTATTTGTGTTTAAAATTTGAGTTTATTTCGATTAAAATTGACGAAATAATGTATTTTTTTTTTTTCATTTTGTTTTTTAAATTCGATTGTGATTTAATTTATACGAATACTTTATACCAAATAAAGAATTTCTAAATATGTAAATTCTAAATTAAGATGTTGATTTTAAATGTTTCTCAATTACATAATTTATACAGATACTTTAAACCAAATAAAGAATTACTAAATATGTAAATTCCAGTTTTAATAAATATGCAGTTTTAATTAATAATTAATTTAAACTATTAGTATAAATAATTCGTGAAACAAAATGTAATAATCACATGATTAAATACGTTGATCATTAATGATTATATATTCGATTGTTGTACTT